CTACAGTTTCAGAAATCTATATTAAAAGTATATATGTGGTTCAAATGCTGAGCACAACAGGGAGACATTTAGCCAAATTAATTTATATAAAAATGACCTCCATAAATCTTACTTTTAATCAATTATTTTTATTCAACCTAAATAAATTATATTTAATTTAAGGTGATTTTCTGGATTTTTGTCTACATCAGTGTTTTACATGGGTACAGTCAAGCTTCTATTTATGAAGTCCTTGGTAAAAACTTATCATCACACTTAAGGGAAGGTTTGGAAAATATTGGAAACATGACTCGCCAAAGTGGAACCGAAAAAGAATGGCATAGAGGAGATGATTATTTTACCCAACATAGGGATAGTTCACAGCGTGATAAACAATCAAGGAATGAGAACGACAGTATTTATTCAACACAAGACAGTAGAAGGGTCAGCACCAGTAAAAGTTCATCCTATGGTGACGGAGAATACTGGGACTAGTTCTGTGATGGGATCAACTGTGTGTTTTATAACATAATACCATATATGAAAATAATTAAGGTGATTTATGTTGCTAAGCGAAACACTACATTAAAAAATTAATACTGGATTTATATTTAAAACTGTATATCTTTTTGAGAGAATAAATGTATTATTGAAATAAAATAAATTACAGTAGATGCCCACCATCCTTGGTCAGTAAAAGTTTTGCTTGGGGTTAAAATTGGTTTGGATTTAATCTGGCTAGAGCTGTAGGAATTTGTAGGATCTCCAGAATAAGTGGACTTTCTTCACTTTTAACTAAAATATGTTGATCAAACTTCCTTTCTTGGTTGAAGCGCAACCCAAGGACATAAAACACAATGAACAAGTAGTGTGATTTAAGTTTAGAAAAAGATTATACATTCATTATTAAAGATGGTATAATACATGATAATAAAATATTGTAGAATTAAAAGTAAAAAATCATTAATAAAGGACCAACTAAAGAACCTAATTTCAAACTATAAACCCAACTTCATTAAGAATTAGATAGTATTTAGAACCAACAGATTTGAATTCATAAATAATGCTTATCATCGAAGTAACATCAGACAATTTAAAAAAAAAAATGTTCAGTAAGTAGCACAACCTGCAAGAATTACTTAAAATGGGAGACAGAAAAAACTTGTACTATTATAAAAATGTTAATTATGGAGATACTATGTGTAAATGAAATGGACTGCAGTTGAACTAAGAAACAGGCTTTAAGCACGATAGTGCTTCTTTTTTTTTTATGGTATGCATTGCATCCTAACCAAGTCTATTTTGGGCCATGATAGTGCTTTTATGTATACTGATGTTTCAGTCTTAATTTGCAGACTTCGTCATGTCAAAGCAACTCCACTTTCCTTCATAATTCTTGATATTATCCTTCAAAAAGCCAATATGAATTGGCATTCACTTGATATTCAGCAATATAACATCAAAAAAATTAAGATCCTTTTTATAAATTTACAACTTAATAGAATAATAAAATATTGTATTCAGTTATCTTCTAATAAAACATATAGTTCAGATGATAATGAACTAGAATTATTATGAAGATTATCAAGTCATCTTTGATAATGAAAAATTGTTATCTAACTTTTAACAGATTACCAAAAATAAATGCAGCTAGAAAATACAACCCAAAATCAATAAATTCATTAGAGATGGTGTGGGAAATAATTCTCTTCTCAATATTTTATACAGTTGTTACCAAGTAATAATGGAAATTGTGATTATCGAACTACTAAACATTTGAAATTACAAATTTTTTCTCAGCCCAAAAAATTCAAGCAGAATTCTGGATGTTGAAGGATCTCAATTCCCTGTATCGTGCTTAATGTTTTTCTTTTTTGAAAAATTTGATGATAATGGCAATAGTGTTTCTTATTATTCCTTTTTTTTTATTTGGCGAATAGTTTTAATGAGACTCTATGTTTAGAATCTAGAAACAGTTCTACGTTTCTAATGTTACACATTATATCTGACACTTAATAGCTCAAAACTGTCCTTCACTTTCACTCTAATTGGCTAATGAAAATTAATAATTATTTGATAGATCCAATTATGTCATTTTTAGCACCAAGTTATGGATTTTATTATTCTATAATTATTTAACCAGTATATTATATAGTATAAAATGAAAATTCAGTACTTTTTTATTATTTATTTTTTTATTAAATAACATATACAATTAAAACAAAACTTTAATAATACAAAATGAAAAACATTGAGCAATGAAAAGAGTTAACACATATAATAGGCACAACGTAAACACAAATTAAAATCAAACCCATTCAACACAAAACTTATCTTTAAAATCACAAAAGGACTAGGATAAATTAAAACTTATATAGATGAGGATAGGTTTGCTTAAAATGTAGGTATACATTAAAGAAACAAAAACATTTTGATTAATAAAAATGTTATGCAAATTCTAAAATATAGATCTATTAACAAAAATAATTTGTAGACTCTGTTATACTTTAAAATTTAAGCATTAACAATGACAAAAATATCAACATATAAATTTATTTTACAATGATACAATAAATCTATTTGTGTAATAGGTAATGTCAGTTTTAAGAGGTAAAAATAAAATAAGAATGAATAAATAACAATAACATAATCAGTTTAAAATCATAACTTTAATATTGTGGTGCAATTCTTTAACATAATAGATGGTTATCCATCACAAGATAGGCCATGTAAAACTTCTAAGTCTTAAAAATAGAAGTTTTTCAGTAACCACAACCAGAGCAATCTGCGACATCAACAAATCGTTTGAAAAAAAATGTCATCAATTCATGAATTATTGTTACCATAAAAACTGACATTTCAAGTTACGATACCATATACAAATGTTCAGAAATTTCATTCAAGTGTACTTATATGCATATTAGTTTATAATAAGGTTTCTGGAAATAAAGTTGCATACTTCATATAAGTGCAATTACCAGAACTACTAAGAAAAAGCATAAAATTTTCCATTTAAAAAGTGATAATTAATTGATTGTGCATCACACAAATTTAATTATATCAAAAGAATAGCAGATCAATTCTACAGAAATTTGTAAAAAATCTGGTAATTTCCTCCATACCATGAAATCATTATTGATGGCACTTAATTAAATGTATAAAAATCAGGGTATGGAAAATTAAAATTTGATGCTGAAAAAAAACCTATTACTCTAATTCATATAATATAAAAACTAATTAATCTTAAACATTCTAGTTTTTCATACATTTTTTAAATATAAATTTATTCATCAAACCAATAATTCCTAAGAAGGTTTCATATTTTTTGTGAAACTTTAAGCATTGGTGATGACAAATAGAAAGACATAGATAGATATAAAATAGATAATTCAAGAATTTCAAACCTCTGAACACAAGACAAAATAACATATAATTTAACAGAAAAAGCAATTTCTAATAAAAAGTTATGGCATTAACTTAAATCATTGCTTTAAAAAAATTGCAACTATTGTAAAAATTAGCCAGATAAATCTAATAAATAAAAAAAAAATTTAATTATATTGACAAGTAAAACTATTAGTTATATATTCAAATAAATTTAGAAACACTGTCGAGTTTTACACTTTTGAATACAAATAAACTTATCAAAACTTTTACAGAAAAAACTGGTGAACAAATGTTATATAAAAACATTTTATAAGAAAAAATTGGTTATTTTGCATAAATCAATCAAACATTATTAATATATAACAAAAAATAAGTTTAACTATTTTTAAGGTTTTTACTGAATTTTTCTCTAAAGGTTATTAAAGGGATCTGATGAAAGTTAATACTTCCACATTATTTTATATAACAAAATTGACTGAACTTGTAATATGCTCGAAATAAATTTGAAAATGTTAAGTAGGACAATTATTCAAGGAACTACTTATTTTTGTTATGAAGCAAAATATCAAATAATTCTGAGTTACTTATGATATTTTTTTTCTCCATAATCTTATTTTTTTTATTTTGAATACAAATTCTTTTAAGAATTTGGGATTGAATTAATATAGAATTGAATTGTTCAGTAATTTCAGATTGATATGTAATAAAATTAGAAATCAATATTCAATACAATAATTGCATTTAATAATAATAAAGTATTTAAAATAAAATACTTTATGTATGAGCACGAAATGTATATCTTGAATATTTATGATATATTAAATTATTCATAGAATTTATTTTCTCAAAGTTTGCTGGTATTTTCAATGTTCATTCTTGAATATATTTTCTTTTAATGAACTATTTATATTTAAGGATAAGTATTAAATATTACACCAAGTTTCGAGGATAAATATTTAATACATCACAACAAAATATAATAAAATAAATCATGAATAAAAAATTAATTGATTATTTTTATTAATTGTTTTAAATAAAATTTTCGTAAGAACGAGGATGAAAAACTGAAACTCAAATGAACAATGACTACATACAATAAGAATAAAAAGAAATTTAACTAATAATTTTTTATATAAAATTTTGAAGTTATAATTCACCTTTTGGCACGAATAACGAAAGAGCTCAAAAAAGGTAGTTAAGTGAGCACCTTAATTGTAATGGTGGTCCAGCCAATTGACACTGATCAAATCAAATTTACAACCATTTCATAAAACTACAATTTTTGAGTTTTGTATAGCCAAAAGGCGAATTAATCACCAAAATTTATCATAAACCTAAAATAAAGTTTAGCAGAGGCACCTTTATCACATATCATAATTTGTAGTAGATTTTTTTGATTTTAGTGCTTAGGTTATAAGTTTTAAATAACTAACTACCAAAGTTAGCAAAGGATAAAACTATAAATACACAAAAAAACCTAATTGAAAGACCTCTATAACCTAAAAAGTAAAAAAAAAAAAAAAAAAAAAATTGAAAGTATTAAATGAAATAATTAGAACAATATCAAAGAAAAACACAGCCTAAATTATAAACTCCAACAAAAATCGATAAGATACAAATTAAAAGGAACTAGTTTACACATCCAACTGTGTAACAGGGATCCCAGTAACAAAGCGTTCGGGAAATATGAGGCTTGCTATAGATAAAAATATGGTTGCAGCATTGTGAAGTGAATTGTCAGGCCCTCGAATGAGTCCTAGAGCTCGTTCGATTGGCAGCTGGAAGCTTGAATAGGCCTTGTCTCCTGAAAGGCATTCTAGCAGTGACATACAGCGGATGGTTTCACTGCTCGGGCCTAGTTCCCTACACAATTTAGCACTATTAATATCATGATAAGTTCATAAAAGATTAATTCATGTTTTGATGTAAAACAATTGTCAACAACAATAAAAATAATAAATGATAACAAAATCGTAGACTTTTATAGATCTAGATCACTCTTTGACTGAAAAAAAAAAAATTATCTTAAATTTTATTTATTAAATTATACCAACATGTTATTTGAAGTGATGCCACCTGGAGCATGGGCTGTGGTCCTGATGAACGGAGGTTGGTCAATGTTCAGTTCTCCTTTCCTTTCTGGGAACTGGCAGAGGACTAAGGCAGCGAATACCCGGTATATAACTCGGCACCTAAAACAGAGTACTTAGGTAATTAATTGCTGTAGAATGCCAAATCAGTAAGGCTTATACCAGGAGTTAATAGGAAAAAGTTAAGTTAAGTTAAAAAATTAAATTTAAGTAAATATCTGCCTGGGTTTAATGATATGAGACAGCCTACTAGTTCATTAACGGTCAGAATTTTGTAAGCATAAAGAATAGTGTATTTTAGTAAGTTATAATAATTTCTCATTACCTTAGTAATTAAAGTTGATTATTTTTATATTACAATAAGTTTATGACAAATTTTAGAAGTACACATGTGAGCTTAAAATAAACAGAACAGAAGATTTGATAAGGTTTATTTCTTTCATATTGAGATAGAGTAACATAGATTTTATAATAAGCTTATTTACATTAGAAATGTTTTAAATAAATAAATACATCATAATCAATGTTAATATATATAATACCTATTAGATATGGGGACTTGTTTCCTAATTCCTATGGTCCCCAAAAAACCCCAGGGTGATTTGTAATCAGCCCAGTTTTCACTAACTTCAACCATCTGTTTAAGCTGGGAGTAAGTCAATTCTGGATTGTGATCTGCTTGACGTCCTCCAAGAAGAAGTCCCAAATAAAATAGAGGAATAATTTTGGCTTCGATCTCAGCACTAATTAGAAAATAAAACAATATTAATCATAAATCATGAATAATAATAATAATGATGAAGATTCTGTTCATAAAAAGTTTTTTTGTATTACAAAATATAACAAAATAAAAGAGAGAAAGTAAACAGAAAAATAGTTACCAGCATTTTAAAGATGTTAGGGATACCGTTAATTGTTTTATAATGGTTGCTTCCTCCTCAAGGTCAGTCAGAACTGGCAATCTTTTCGAAAAAAAAGCATAGAGAGATAAGAGACATCTCTCATTTGTTAGTGTTTCAGTCAACAATGGTTGTTTGGGAGGGAAGTCTTGCAGTAGGCTGAGGACATTGGTCCAATCACTGCCATTTTCTTTGAAACACAGGACGAAAAAACAATCAAGAGAAGCATAACTAAAACCTTATTTAAAAATAAAATAAATGTTATTGTAATATAAATAAAACCTACTGATCACTTACGATCATTAAATACAGATGTTAATATAGCTTCCATCAAAGAGCCGAGAACAGCAGCATCCTGGACAGACATTGGAAGGGTCCTTAGTAAAGCCTTGGCTACAACACAGTCTCCTCGCTTTCCCAACCAAGACAGTATAGTTGAATGAGTTGTCTTCGCCAGTGGGCCACTCAGCAATGTGAGCAGTTCACCCATATATAATCCTGCTTCACCACCAGCATATGGGTCTACAGAAGAAGTGAAAAACTTTTATAAAGGGAATGTAGAAACTAAACATAAAATTTCAGAACCTATTGTCGTGAGACAAATGAAGGAAAAAGAAACTTTAACAATATTATTAGTTTGTTTTTACCATCAATACTCTCAAATCCCCCCAAAAAGTTTTGTTTTTCCTTTTCTGTTGGAAGAAACTTTTTGACATTACTTTATTTTATGCATAAAATAATTAGCTGCATTTTTTAACAAGATTTGGTATAATAATTCCACTAAATTTTAGATTTTTCCCAAGCTACATAAATTGCTGAGATATGGGCGTATCAAACCTTAAAAGGTAATATCATCACAGATGATATCATGAAACCCTAATAGGTAATATGAAATCTTAATAGGTAACATCATGAAACCCTATCAAGTAATATCATTGCTCATATTTAGAAATAAAAACCCAAAAATGTTATTTGAAGCATTACATCTTGATCTTGTGCATGCAGTAAAAATTAAATGGAAAATATAGTTCATAAAATAAGAAATATGTGGTTCATTTCAACTTATGAATAATTTTAGTTTTCATTTTGACCTTTATTTTTAATTTTTATTTACTCTCAAATGTATGCCTTAAGGGCAGTTTAATAATAATCAAAAATTTTCAAACTTACTTAGTGGTACAATGGTGTTAATTTGTGTAAGAAGATCCTCAATGGTAGAAGATAGGGCATCCAGTTCAGTTCGTAAAGCCTGCTTGTAGCGATTATAACAAGACACTATAAGTTTCACACAAGCCCTGAAGTAGATTTGCCTTTTACGAGGTACAGCAGGTGGACTTGATCCATCTAAAGTTTTAATAAATCCACCAGCATGTTTAAGAAGCCTAAAACATTATAAACTGATATAATTTTCAAAAAATTTAAATACACAATTAGGTTATCGCCATTTTTCATAGCAAGAAAAAGTTGATGCATTCTGATTAATTTATTTTAAATTTTAATTAATTAAAGATGTGACAAGTAAAGAGACAATAAACTCAGCATATAACACAGTCAACCTAAAAGTAATTTGGAACCATAAATTGAAAAGAGTTCTATAAATTTTATTCTTCCATTAACATAAATACCATACTATTTATTTATAAAAAATATAAGGCAGTAAAAAAGTTTAACACAGTTTACTTAAAAGAAGATTATTTTAGTTGAGGCATGTAGAACTTTTGCTTAACTTTCAGCTAGAATTAGTAATTAAATATCAGCGTCAAGTTTATTATGAAATTGCCTTAGACAATATAATGGGTTAGAAGTAAGCATTAAATAATAGTTAAATGCAAAAACATTTTGAATTGATTAAATAGTGCACTATAAACAAAACCATTTAAATAAAGTACTACATAAAAAATTTTATCTCATTTTCATTAATAAAAACAGAGATTGTGTATAACAAAGTATTAACAGTTGTAAATATGAAACTGGAATTCTTCCATTGCTCAATTTGTTAATGTAGTTACCGTTAAACCCACCATTGGCACCATTTTGTTTCATGGACAGCTGGGAAAGATTTTCAGCTTATGGTGAGCATGCTCTTGGTAAATCACAGTGCTTTAGGAGGTTTAAAAAATTAAAAAGTAGCAACTTTGATGTGAGGAATAAACAATATGGAAAACAACCAAAAATGTTTGAAGACTTGAGAAATGCAAGCATAGTTGGATAGAGATGATGCTCAAACCCAACAACAACTCACGGATCAATTGAATGTAACAAGAAAAGCTGTCTCCATACTTTGAAAGCAGCGGGAAAGAGCCACAAGATTGGAAAATGGGTTATACACACAAAGTGAATGAAATACAGTAAAAAAACTGAAAAACTACTTCCAAAATGCTGGTTGCCAGGTAAAAAAAAAGAAAATTTCTCCATCAAACTGTGACAGGCGATGAAAATTTCTCCAGCATCAACTCCATGGTTAACTCCAGACGAATCATCAACATTAATTGCAAGGCTAAGTCGCTATGGAAAGAAGACAATTCTCTATGTTTGGTGGGATAAGAAGGGTGTGATATATTACGAGCTGAGAAAATCTGGTAATATTTTAATACAGAAGACCATCAACAACAAATGATCAATTTGTATTGAGTATTGTATGAAAAGTCACCAGAATAACAAAAATGAGAACACAAAGAAATTTTGCTTCATGATAATACACCAACAGCAAAACCAGCGCATGAAGCGATTGAGGAGTTCAGTTGAGAAATATTAGTACATACAGCTTACTCATCAGATTTGGCTTTATTTGGCTACTATTTATTTGCATTGATAAGACACACACACTTGCTTAACAGCGCTTCAAATCTTTTGAAAATGGACGAAAGTGGGTTGATGAATAGTTTCCTACAAGGAGCAACAATTTCTACTATATTTACAGAAAGATGGGAAGAATGTATAGTTAGTGATGGAGAATATTTTTTAACATTTTTTTTTTATGAAATGAACATTTATTTTCTATGCAAAAAATCCAGATTGATATTTACACACTTGATGAGTATAGTGAAATTACGAACTAAAAAAAAATATGAAAATTATAGATTTTCTCAACTTTATTCAATATCCAGAAATTACTTAATTATTACATAATAAGACAAATTAAGTAATAAATATATAAATTGCAGCAAACAACAAATATTGTGCGAGGAAAATTAACTAAATATTAAATACCTGTTAATGCGACAAATAATTTTGCAATACTTACTCTAAAACAGATTTATCAATATCACATGCATCATCACTATCCTGTAATAATATCACTCGTGGATCATAACTCATAACAAACCAGTTTACAGCACTCTCATAATTGCTGCAATCAACAGTCTCCCAGTGAAAATTACATGCTGCAATAAGCAGGTCCATAATTTTACCCGACTGGAAAAAAATAAAATAATCTCAATTAGATATTATTATTTTAGTTACACTAACGTTTATCTTATACAACCAATAGTAAATAAATCAATAGGAATAGGAGGTTGTTTTTATTTACCTGCCTTACGTTGGGTTCATTGGAAAGTTTTATTATTAAATGGAGCAAAGAAGAATGGACCTTTGATGATGTTTCTTCAGGCACATCTTTGATCCAATGCGACCAAGAAACATCAATAAAAATTGTGCCAAGCAATGTATGGCAATATGGAACATATGTATCAGAGACCTAAAATTAGAAAAATATTGTATTATTACAGTTAGAAAATATCTCTATAGAAAAAAAGGAAGATAAACAAAATATCTCTATAGAAAATATCACATGAAATATCTCTTACTGTCACAATAGATCGATTAATTTAAAAAATATGCTACATTTTCTTCTATGATTAAAGAGATTCTAATATGGCTATTCCACCCTCTTTTGAACTTAGAAAGTTCACGGGAGAGAGTAATACTTTTATATAATAAATTATTATATAAAAAAAATTAAAATTATGTAGTACAACTTAAGTCCAATGAGAATGGCAAATCTGAGCATTAATTGATTGAAAAGCAGAAAAATAAAAAAGGATGACCACTTTTACGACTCTCAATTTGCTTATGAAACATTAATTATTAGTTTTGAAAAATAATGAGAGATTATATCAGTATAATGGAAATAAGTAAAACCTGACAGACTTAAATTCTATTAAGGAAGGAGATGGTCCGGGGTGGCGGTTATAATATTAAAAATCATAATATTAAAAGCCCATGGCTTTTAATATTATGACTGCTACCCCGGACCATCTCCTTCCTTTATAATGCAATATTCAACTATTAAATATCAAATTAAATTATATTAATTAGACATGTGGATATTACCTTAAGCATATAATCTAAATCCAAAAATGAAGGAGAAAATTTAGACCATGGAAGAGAAAGTAAATTGCTATGGATTACACTTAATATATGTTCCTTTACTGAGGGATGGGCAAATGTGGTTACGTAATATTGCCAAACATAACTGAGCATAGTAGAGCCTGTAAACATAAAATATAAAAAAGGACCCATAAAATATGCCAAACAAATATGGCCAGAAAATAACATACTATGATATAATAAAATTTATAAACATATGGTCACTGTAGAAGCATCACACCACATTTATCAACTTTTCGGATAAGTCAAAAGCTGTTTTAAAAATGAATGTGTAACTCTGTAAAACGTATACATTGTTTTTCTACTTTAATTAAGAAAGTTATTTTAAGTCCGTTAAACAAGTATTATCTTTAGGTTCATCAGAAATATCAGGATAAAATGGTATAATTATTTTAAATTTATGAGAGTCAAAAATGAATTTTGTTTCTTCTACAGTGTCAAAATAATGAAAAATGTAGACAAACGACTTCTATTAGGCACCACCTTAGTTAAAATAGACAAAATTTAAATTTTTTTAAAAATATTTCACTTACCAGATAGATTGTCAAAAAGAAAACGTATCGATTCAGTGAAGATTGCAGCTACCTTGTGAGCATGGCCAGAGTCTGCAGCAATCCAAGGAGGTAATATTGACCGGTCATCTGTCAGCTGTTGAATCCAAGCTGCCATTGGTTGTGTCAAAGAGTTGGTGTAGTATGGGCTTAGCCAAGGAGCATAGAGGCCAGTGAAATAAGGCCACAATTCTTCACACACTATAATAATTGAACATGAATGACAAGAAGAAAGCTTTAACTATATTAAGAATAAATGATTAGCAACAATAAAATAGAAATTCAATCTTTTCTGATAACTTCTCTCTTGCCCATGGATCACAAACCTAAAAGCTAAACAATTTCATCTTACCCGACCAATGCACTGGCGAGGTATACAGTTTTTGTTAAAACTCATTATTTCAAGAATCACAGATAATAGCAATAAAATACATTGTATTTTTTTGACACAAGCTGAGAAAGGCTAAATAAATGATGCTGATCTGACAATTAGCTGAGTTAAAACGCAACAGAATTACTAATATTGTTTTACAAATAATTATTTTATTTGCAGAAAATTTTATTTAAATAAAAATATTTCACTTTTTGGAGAAAAATAATACCTTTATTATAGCTGTTGTGACTGTATTTTTTGTTGCAAGCAACAACCAAAGCATGGCTTACAATTCCAAGGAGTGTAGTGAAAGGTGATATATAATTTCTATATTTTGGATAAAGGCCATACAACCCGTATTGAAGTCTTTCCTCCATGAAATGGCGACTCAATAAAAGACAAATTTCAATGAGCTAGAAAAAAAAGGGATTGTTAAAAATAACTTTCTCACATGAATATATCCTAGTATGAATTTAGGGAAAATGTACCTCATTATAGGAAAGAGTGTTTTGCTGGATGGCAAATTTCTGCATAAGTTGAACAGAATCTGAGAGAGACAAGTGATTTCTAAAGCTACATACAGGACTCACTAGTGCGTTTATTATGTCAACCCATACTTCTGTAGCTAATGAATGAGTCTCTGAATGGTTTAGACATAATGTAATTACTTCTAAATAATGAGAAGGGGAATCATAATTGAAGAGAATACATAACTGCCTTCGAAGCACCTAAAATAGAAAAATGAAATAAGATAGAGGCACAGAAACAAGAAATATTTATTCAAGATTAGTAAAAATACCATTCTGAAAAAAATATAATGAACTATATTAAGATGGCCGTAGATGATTCACCCCAATTCCTCCACACCAAATGGAACATGGAATGATCATGAGTGTGAAATCCAGTGAGGATATTTTGAAGTGGTTTGGAGTACCTCCAATACCAACTCTAGTTCAGAAATCCATCATGTTACCACAAAATCTAACCATTCCAATCGATTATATGAATGTGGAAAAATGCAGTGGAATAATGGATTGCACAGTTTATCACAATCACAGTCGTTGCATTGACAAAAAACTAAATTGATTAAAGTGTAACTCCAACTAATAATAAAGAAGAGCTTTAGGAATAATTTATACAATAATTAATCATAAAAAGGTGAAGGTTTAATAATAGAATATCGCAGGAAAAATCAGGTACTGTCTAAAAAACATCAACAAGAGAAAAATGAAATTTTAAAGTGGGCAGTTACACCCAAAGCTCTTTGCTCTGATGCATGGGTCTAAACTAAAACAAAAATTTAACAAAAGGGTAGCTATTTTCGGTAGTCGTTGTTTATGTTATTGAACTAAAATTAGGAAAGGATATCTCTCATCCAGCTCCTTTTTAGTTGCCTATTTATGGTCATGTCAGCTGTGGTCCTGTCATTTATAAGTCTGTTGTGTCTGTTTAGTTCATTATGAAATCGGGAGTAAAGAGTTCCTATGTGTAGGTTGATAGTATTGCCCAATGAGGTAGTCTTGTGTGAGTCACCAGTGGTATGCACTGTCATGAAAATGTTAAATTAATGTTTATACTAAATCTTTATTTAATCTTGAAATTGTCTATACCCTAAAGCCTACAGTCACTCCACTTCATTAATCCATTGCTTCACTTGAAGTGATCATCAATGGCCACCTTTAAATTTAAATAGCATGCAGTATGATTCCCACAAATGTTTAACTAATAATGAAAAAACAATACATGTTACAAGTTGAGTAATATATAAAAAAGTTAACATAATAATTAATTCAAATCAGCTAAAAAAAAAACAAACAAAGAATAAAATATCTTTGTTTATATATAGATACATGAATATTTTCAAAGAGGTACATTTTTTCATTAAAAATATTATAGGTTTTTTTCATAACATAACAGTGTGCCTTGCAACTTTAATAAACTCTGCACCACATATATAAATTCTATTATAATTAATGGCTTTAAAATGGAACTAACTTCATGGATCATAATAAATTCTGATTCTTGAGTTTGACCAGAAGATGCAAGGGCTTTTCCTACGAGATCTATAAGTTGTGAACAATCGAACATTCTAGGCTTTTGAGAATCCAACCACTGAACCATATCAAACTAAAAAACAAAAAAAACATTCATAAGTAAAATCTCAAAGTTAATGATTTAACCATATATAATTAACCAAAACAAACTGCACCTTGGTTAACAATACAAATATCAAGTCAAAATTTGAAGAAGAAATTGAGTTAGTAAGTGTCCGATACAGTTGGACATATGTTTGAGAAGAAGCTTTGGTCGGTGAGAAATGAATAGAAAGCAGGCTAGATAGTGATGGGGCTTCAAGAAGAGTTGACAGCAAAATTGGGCCCTGTCTTTCATCCTCAGATATAAATGTCTGAAAAAGTAAAAATATGTTATGTTAAAGCAACAAGTATGTTATAGCCAGTTTAAATGTAGATAACACAAATTTTCTTTATTCATTTTTGGAAACCCTCATTTACTAAAAGATATGAAAAATAAATAGAAAAATTAATTTTGGAAGAAATAAAGGAGATATTTATACACTCATACAACTAGAAAAATTACAATAATCTCTTCTATTAATTATAACAGATTAAGAGTTTACCATATTAATAATCATGAAGATAGCCCGTGAGGTAGTCAGAAATAACACAAACAAAAAATATTAGAAACTATTCATAAAAATCTAAAATGTTGAAGGATTACGATTGTTATTAGAATTATTCCAAAAACTTAAGATAAGAGACAAATCTCCACATAGAGCTGTGCAAGGATTTTTATCAGAAAGGATAAGATTGATTTTGCCTCCTACAAAATCAACTCTTAAAAACCAACATTTTATATCTGTAAATTAAGTTATTTAATTCAAAATAAATATCATCATCTGATAATATTAACATGCCATTGACTGAATTAGGATTAAAAAGTAGAAAGAAATTTTTTTTTTCCCTGAAGAACTGCCACGCTGCCTGCACAGAATACTTGATGAATAAGTAAAAAAAAAAAAAAAAAAAAAAAAAATAGGTACAAAGTATAAAGTATAATATAAAGTTCAATTGGCCGTATCTTTGCTAATACTAGTCTAATTCAAAGATTTAATTTTTGTAATGTAATTTGCTGGTAATCGAATTATCATTTAAATAAAAGCTTAAATGCTTTTTTTTTTTATAACTCAGGAGGTTCTGAGCTGTAAAGATCTATTAACAAGTGCATATAAAGCATTTTACTCGATAAAAATACATAAAAGCTATAATTAACAACAATATTAAAAGAGATAACAAATACTGAAAAATCATCATCATCATAGCTGGCATGACAACCCATGCCTGGATCTGGGTCACCTCTGAAAGCCTCTGCCAGTTGGCACGATACTGTGATGTAGCTGTCCAGTTCCAGCAGAAACATTTTTAGAAGTTTTATGATTATAATCTATAAAGGAAGTGGGTTAATCAGCCCACATTCTACAAGTTAGGTGGAGGGGTTGCCTTCTCAGAGCCACCAGACATGACATGCTCCTCCATCTGAAGAGGTTATCAAGAGAAGGTGACCCTAGGGTGTGTACTATGTGCCTCCTTTATCTGTAAGTGTAGGGTGTAAGTAGAGGGCTATATATATGGTTTATTGTTTGAGATTCAGAGTTTATTTCCTTCAATCTGCAGGACCAATAGCTGATGAAGTGACGAATGGGCAATAGAGTCCCCACTTTCCTATACCAACTAAAATGTCAGCTTTTAATAAATAATATATACTATTGTTTGGAGTTCTTCTTGATGATCTAATCTCAGGAATAAAAATAAATGATTGAATATTCTGTAATAGATTTTTTTATTACCTGTCCCAGCGTTTCAACACAAGTGGTCACTAACTGCTTCAGAGGAGGATATTGTGAAGCCTCTTCTGTGAATATTGATGTCAGATGATAAAATAATGAAACTCCAACTTCTTCCATTTTTTTCATTAACTGTACATCACCTATCCTCCTCAGTTCAGAATATTGATCTTCCAAAAACCTGTGATAAAGCACATCCATAGAGTTTTAAAATTTCTAAAAATTGGGACTGAATTTTGTAACTATTCCATAATTTTTGTCCCAATACTTATCTAAATTAGTGTATTTAGAAGGAAAAACAAAAAAAAAAAAAGGAACACAAGTTTTTTGTGCACTATTTTAGCAGCTGCCCATTTTATTTAAAACTTCTTTAGACGCGTTTTGCACTTTTATGTGAAGAGTGAATTAGATTGAGCCGTCAGATTTCCAATATGTAACGCTTGGGTAAAGTTGGCTGGAGTCGACTAATTGAAGTGTTTTTGCATATGGATTAAAATATCTTTGTAACTAAAAATCGGACCTGCATACTGTAAGCGAGGGAATTGTTCAGCATTTGATCCCCTCTGTCATTGGCTATTATTCAAACTGGTATCTTAATGCTACAATAAGCCATGTTAGAGAGGCCAAAAGGAAAAAATAGTGACAAACACCAAATTATAAAGAGAACAATATCTAACAAACAAAGTCGTAGAATGTAATGGAGAGAAATTTCCTAAATAAATGTATTCTTCTTATGTCCTTTAGAGCGCCGTATCGTGACCGATTTGTCTGTCCATTTCCGAGGCAAGTATGTTTGCTCTGAATCAGTTTTACTCCACTACGGGTGATTGGCCCAGTAATAGAGGCCCCATTACCTCGAGACGACGGGGGATAATTTATACCCTCGTCCACAGGGCCCTCCCAGAATAGGTGACCCTAGGGTGTGTAGTGCATGTGACCTTATGTCAGTGTATGTGTATTGTGTACTGTTTTGTGGGTGTTTGTGCAATGTACTGAACTCGGGAGACCGGGAGAGCGTTAATTTCCACTAGCCTTGCACATCAGCTAGTCCCTGCGGGTACCTAAACTTTTAAATATCAGTCCCTAATCTTCCCCCACTACCCCCCCAAACACCTCCGCGACAATCTCGCATAGTCCTGTAGGGTACTAAACTTTTAAAATTATTATTAAGTGTGAAGAAAAATTATATAAAATCCACCGAATCAAGGCAATGTAAGGTTCAAAGTTTAGCTCAGTTAAAAATGCAGTTCAAAAACTTTGTACTAGCTCATCATTGCCAGAAAATAATTTCTATTCATACTAGAGCGCTAAGTGAAAATTTTGTGATGTGCACACCAGAAATTTTTTTTAAAGTCAGATAAACCTAAAATGTATAGTGTATTACCACAATTTATATATTGTCTTAAGTTTGTATTAATAATTAAATTAATATTCTTAAATTTTATTAACTTTAAAAAAATTAATTTTTATTGAAAGTGGTGTGGTAAGTGAAGGTTATGCATCACATCATATTTTTATAATGGCATTTTAAATTCTTAAAAAATTAATTTTACAGCATATTGTAAGTTTCAATTTAAAATGCCTTAAAGTGGTAGTTCTTGTTGACTTTTACAAATTAGAGGTTTTATTTTATTTTGATAAAATACAAACCTTACACACTGTTCTATTTGAACACTCCCTTGGCAAACAGCATATGGTGGTGTTTGGCATGTACGTTTAATAAGACTCAGTATTTCAAGTCGGTTGTTATGGATTGCCATATCCGTCGCTTCACAGACACGAATTTCACAAATCTGATAAAAAAAAAACATTTAAGCATGAAAGTTAATTATAAAACAATACATTGATCAATAGAAAAAAAACAAATCCTAATGCAATTGCAGATACATAAAAATATATTACAATGTGGTGATATAGAGCTGACCAATAATACTTGTATTTTAAACAAATTCAGTTATTCGTCACAATTCATTAAAATACCCACACTTTTAGAATCTCTGATATAACATGTGAACGCAAAATGAATTAGATTGATATTAACAGATTACTGGCAGCAATCAAAAAGTCATCCAAGTGGTTTATTTGCCATCTGCTCCCTCAGCAAATCCAGTCAAGAACATCTTATCAATGTTGCTGTTTGGAGATAATTAATGAAAGTCCTGGTCACAAAAGGGTCATACACAAACATTAGAATAAAAACTAAATGATTAGTGCAGGGTATTAACCAGTGATCAGTTCATGTCAGAATAAAAAAGAGAAATCAGAAAAATACATGTAGTGTGCAAATAATTGTTTACAACTATGAATAATTAAAAAATTAATTACCTTAAGATTGATTACAGCAGGACCAGCACAGTTGAGTGAGTTTAATGTAGGTTTATACCCAGGTGTATGGGTGTCACAGGCGGCATGTAGGGTAACAGTAGTTTCTACTGAACGGTACAAAAGAGGAGCAAGTTCAAGCAAGCAACAATCAAGACTTGATTGCTCTCCTGCTCTAACAGTGTGTGACCTTAAATAACAGAAATAGTTATTTGAAAAATATATAGTAGTTAAAATTCAATTGTATTTTTAAAAATTAAAGGTGAATAATGAACAAAACCTGCTAACATCTATTTTTAATATTATCTGCAATAGAATCAGGATGTAAACAAGTAACTTACATCCCAACTGAATTTAAAATAAAACAAGATATTAATGAAAATTCCTATAAAATTTAAAACAATAGTTTCCTTTTTTTGAAATAAGACACTAAAACTGAAAATTCCGATTAACTCTTTGCTTTTCCTCTAGTTAAGACTAATTTCAGAACCTTTATCAAGGAAATGATAAAGACTTATGCCCACTAGATGTGCTAAATGTGTGACAGATAGAGAAAAACAATGCAAGTTTTGAGACTAAAAAGTATGAAAGGAAATGAAAAATCCAAACATAAAACAAAGCGTGAGTGTGTGTACTAGGAGAGGGCTTTCAGCTGACTAAGTGTCACATCACATTTGGAATAATAAAGTTTGGTTTTTCTATGTAATAGTACAATTAATAGTAAGTATGTAAAATGCTTACTCAAATATAATTCTCACAAACATTTTCGTACAAATAGGAAAATTCTTAAAAAAGACCCCTTTTGTACAATGATTCATCTATTATTTTTCCTTTTTTCTGAGTTCTTCATTACCTAAGAAGGTTCTATAAAACCAATAATTTAACACAAATTCTAAAATGTGAATACAAATAGATTTTGAATTAGACTAACCTGACAAGAAAAGAAAATTTAAAAAAACAGAAAAAAAGAAGAATGAATGCTATTTAATGAGAAGTAACTGCAAACATGGCATATTGTTGCTGGTTTTCATCTTAATACTGGAAAAAAAGCTGAAGTAACATAAGTTGGAAATATTACTATCAAAAATTGGGTTGAAAGTTATTTGGATTGCATACTTTATAATTCATAAAATACAAAGATAAATAACTGTTTCTTATTTATTATGTTTGTAAAAAATTAGAGAAATTTTTAGTATTCTACAATTAATCAAAAGGATAAAATTATTCTATTATGAGTTATTGTTATACCTTGCAAAATCAAGTAATGACTTCAGTGAGCCACCAAGCAAATCAAGCAGGTGATGTTTGTTATAAAAAGCTTCAGCTGGAGGGAGAGGAACGGGTTGTTGTAAAGTTTTTAGTGGAGGTGGTGGCACAGGGGTCTCATATGACTGCAGCCTAAAAATAGAAAGAATTAATGATTTAGAATCAATAATATAATAACAAAAAAAAAAATTAACTCATTTTATACCTCTTTGATATCCTAGCCAAGGGATCCGGGTCTTGTTCCATAAAGGAAGGCTTGGGTGGCATTTCGTTCTTCCGGCACAAGGACTGTTCCCAGCGAGTGAGAGATTCTCGTTGCGAAAGCCTGACAGCCTCGTAGTCAACATACTCATGCCATAAGGTCTATAAAGTAAAAAATAATAATATATATATTATCATGGAAAGTAAATAAAAAGTTCCTTGATACACTGCTTCAAATACATTTTAAAACAGAACAATTTATAAAAAAAAGATAGGATAAAAGGTAAAACTCAAAACATAGTCTAAGATAAGTGAAAATGCAACTATCATCATCCTAATAGAATAAAAATCAATAATTGATCAGCATAGCAATAAATCAAACAAAAGAATTCTTTCAGTGCTATGTTCACAAACAAGAACTAGCAATACTTTTACCGAAAGGTAAAATTAATATTATTAATGTGACTAATTACATTGTCATTATGAAATATTGCAGATAGTTTTTCAGGCTTGTAAGGAGGAGGTAATGCAGGAAGATAAACCCCCGGGTCCTGTAGTGAGACTTCTTCAAGCCAGAAGAGAAAGGTATTATATAACCTGGGAAAAAAAAAAAAAAATCAAAATCAAGACACTGATTGCAACTACTGGAAAACTGAGTCTGTAGCTGAATTTATCAAATTTAAACTTTCAAAATTTCACACAGACTAATTCTTATTTTGCCTGTTCCAATACAATGAAAGGGTTACTAACTTTTCAAGCATATAATGATACATAAAAATTAAATATAAATAATTTAAATATTCATACTTAGCCATGTTTTCGAACCAGTCCTTCCTCTCTAAAGTAACAACTTGAACTGAGTTAGCACATTTTGCTTCATAAAACTCCTTACAATCAACTAACTTTTTCTTCAGCCTGTTCATATAATTTCTGTTAGTGAGACCTTCAAAGAACTTTGACCCAACACATCCGATGTCTTTTCCACTGAAAGATAATTAAAAATGTAACAAATATGCCACATACTAAGAATACATTAAAATTCAAACAACATACAATGCGGGAACTCTTGAAAGATATAGAGTAAAGAACTTTTGCCAAAATATAGGCAGTACAGGATGGTCCACTGGTGTGTCGAGAGCTTGCTGTGACCAACGATAAATCGGTAAAGCACTACTCGTAAATGATTCTATCTTGAGAGAAGAGCACACTTTCTGAAATAACAAATTTCAGTTTTAACATCATTACTTGGTAGATATTTATACTTTTTAACAAATTAGTACTGTGAACCGAGGTTACTTTGGGACTAAGAGGTGGCTATGGACTAGTATTTATTTTGAATAGGAAATTACCTAGCGGGCTAAAATATTTTTGTATTTAGACAATGTTCCAGTCCACCAGGTGATTTAAATTCAAAAGAAACTCAAGTACATAGTGACCTTCTAGTCTCAAAGTAACTCCAGTTTATGAAAGAGTAAATAATAATTTAAAGTACATTTAGTTGATACCTAGTCTACTTTGAAATTATTAATTATAGAAGGAAGTTAGTCAACTGTTCTACATATCATAGGTGATAAATAGCCAGGACGCGGTCATTTTTAAAGTTTTTGTTAATACCGATGTTTCAATCCAAGCATGTGGGTCATCATCAGGGCATGTTGACGAGCACTGAAGGTGTTCAGGTACTCTAGTGTATTTGAAATATTGAACACCTTCGATGCTCAAAACACGCTCTAATGATGACCCACATGCTTGGTTGAAACGATAGCATTAATGAAAATCTTGAAAATGACCGCGTCCTGACTATTTATCACCTATGAACGAAAGTATAAAAATTGAAATATCAAAATTTCGTGCCTCGAAGTTTTTAATCTTCGTAAGAATGGAAAGAAGGCATATTGAAGTATTACATTTGTCACAGCTTTAATAGCAACAATCACATATTAATATATAGTTATCACAAAAAAAATAAAAATATTTTTTTTGAAATAACTTCTTAATTGTCATCATCAAAATTTCCAAACTGATGGAAGATAATTATGCACTACCAAATACAAACAGGAAAATGGAGGACTTTGATTGACTTGATAATGATATACTCTAAAAAATATATCGATATTTTTCCAACATCCCTAAAATAAAGGCAATGATTTCATTGATAAAAATACATGATAAAATAGAATAAGATTGTAATATTAATATTAAGATTATTACTAATTAAAGCTTGTGAGATTCAATATACAGTAAAGTTTCGATTAGTATGGCTGCCCAGCTTTCAGAACCCAAACTCCAAGAATGAGAGAATTATAGTCCATGATACAAACCCCTTTTTATCGAATTATTAACATCCCCCTGAAACTTCGTAAATAGTTTCATCTCATTGTAACCTACAACTATTTTATTTACGAAAAATCGTGGAATTGGGGCATTGTCAATCTGGAAGGGGACAAACTTAGTCTATTTAATTAGATACTAAAAACTCGTAAATACCCATTTGCTTTCTACTTGAATCGTAAGATAATTTGATCACAAAATCGAGAAAAAAGGTGGCCTTAAAAAATTTTGATCCATTTGACATGACCTAAACCCCCTAATTTTCAAAATGATGAGGTTATATAGTACAAACGGCTCAATATTTTTGTAGGCCACTTTTTTTTTAATCGATTTTGTAAAGAATTATCCTTGTTTTGTTGGAAGTTTGCTCCCTTCCAGATTGAAAAAGCCCCAATTCCAAGAGTAACGAACCATTAACGAAGTTTCCGACGGATGTTAATAATTCGATAAAAAGGGGTCTGTGCCACGGACTATAGCTAGCGGTTGCAGTCGGTGAGAAAAACACAAATAAAAAAAGTATATCGAGCAATGGATTCATTAATTGTAACTAAAAGAAAAAATGAAAAGAGTTGAAGTGCCCATACTATTCATGCTAGCAAATAAATGTATTACAATACTATTATAAATACATTATATAACTAGTACCTTTAGGCTTGAGTCAATATTGGCTTTACCGGCAGACGTAACTAAATTGACGAGAAGATTTTTCCATAGTCCTGTCTTCTCATTAATAATATATTCTTCAAGCTCAAGAGCAAATAGTGCGAACCAAGGTGTATCTGGAGCTGATTTGGGAATCAATGAAACACAGTGTGAATTGCCACCTACCCAACTCAAAAGTGAAAATTTTGCTTTACTAGCATTGGAAATCATCTGTAAACAAAAACAGAAGTTAGCATTGAACATTGAAATATACAATTGGAAACAATAAACTTGAATTATTCAAATTATAATCAATAATTCTGCATTATCAAAAAGGTCAATATACAAATAAATATATACTACACTACACAGGGTGGCACAAAAAGAATGGTCATTTCCGAAATAAATAAAACCTCTAAGATTGTGTTTAATTTTATGTAAAAGATTGTTAATATATATTTTTTAAATTTTCATATATGAATTTAATAGCTAACAGAGTTTAGTTTAAAATAAAATAAATAAATAATAAATTTTAAAAAATAATATCGTCATTTATAGAAAATCTTTTTTTGTTTTTTTCTATTATCCCCTACCATCTGAAAGACTGGAGGTGAAATTGAAGAGACTAATGAAGTGTTTTATAAGATTCATCTTTAGAATAGATTCATCCAGGCATTCTCATGTTTTGCACAGATATACCGAGTTGAAGTGAAACTCAATCCTACTTCCTGACGACAACTCCTTCTCGGTGTTTTCCTTTTCCAGATCCTAAAAATCAAGGATCCTCCCTATATCATGGAACTCCTCACTGTATGTTCCTCTATTCAGTCTCTTAATACCAGATCGCAGCTTATTGATTTATATATCCCTTCTCATAAAACTACATTCTTCAGCAAATCCTTTGTCATTAGTGCTACCTCCTTCTGAAATTCTTTACCCATCACCATACGGCAATCCTCATCCATAAATTCCTTCAAATAACTCTTATTCCACCACCTACTTCATTTTCAAACTTCTGTACCTATGTAATACTAATTGGATTCTGTAATTACAACTGCTCACTAACAATTAAATGACAAGTTCCATTTTTTAAAATTTCATTTATTTATTTACTTTTTCTTTGTTTACTGTATTGTTCAAGTATGATTCCAATAACAATTGAAATTAACAATCAAATGACAAGAAACTCTTTGTATTTTGTCAAGTTAGACTAATGGACCAATGTTTTGTATCATGTTATTATTATACTTAGGGGACTTTATTCCCAGAATAAAATTATTCTTTCATTCATTCATTTCATACCTAGCCATTTATGGCATACTGCGGGTAGAGAAGAGAGAGGTTGATCTAGAGGTACAACCGAACCTATATAACCAGAGTGGGAAGGTCGAGATTCATTCCGTGGTCCACTACAAAATAAATTTTAACCTGCCCAGGCCGTATTTGAAACGGCATAACGAGACTCGATAATGTTAAAGTTTACACTATAACACATTCGGCCATCGCAACCTTCTATCTTCATAACAAAAATCATGTAAGATAGACAACATCCTTCTTGATGTAAGCAGTCTGGGTGTTGTTTTTCGTACATGAATGATATTGTTTTTTTTTTTATGTTTAAATACATTTTTAAAATTAAGAAAAAAACACAATTCATATATGTACATATTTAAAAAATGTGTGAACAATATCAAAATTTAATTTATTTAAAAAATGACAATTATTTTTGTGCTGCTCTGTATGATGAAAACATTGGTAATAGGAAAAGTGTAAATATAGTGTGGTTTAGTATTTTTAATCATTGAAGATTATAAAACAGCTTTTTATCATAAATTGGTAACAGAAAAGCTACCCTCACTTTCATGCAAGCCAATGACATAACAACTTATACGCTTGGGAGCAAGTTTGCAATGAAACTTTTTTAATAAGTGTGAAATTATTGTGCCTACAAGAGATGAGCCTGAAAAACATTTTAAAGGTTATTGCTTTAACGTTATTTGGTATTTTATAGTATAAAAAATCTATAAAAAAAAAACTTGAATAATTATAGCTCAGAAAATCATCTAAAGACAACTGATAATAAACACAAATAGTTAGTTTTTTATTTAAATTTTGAATAAAGAAATGGTAAATTATTAAAAATCGATCTAATGCTTGATAAGAATTGGTTAAGAAACCGGAAGAGTCAGTTGTTGATATAAGACTACAGGAATGGGTATAAGAAGGAAGAAGGTTAAATGGTTGGGGAGTCAACTATTCTCAAGAAGAATAATTAATCATTTAATGACAAAATTTTCAAGCTAAGCTTAAAACTAAAGGATATTTTTCAAAATATTTCTATAATGGTTTCATCTGATTGTCAAATAAGGAATGACTAATATAAAAAACAAAATATGTATTTAAAAAAGTTGAGTTACATAGGTTGAATGATTACTTCATTTGAGCACAATATCCAGGATGGCAAGATAAAATGAGTTAAAATTAATTTCACACAATCTCCTTAAAAGGATAAAAAGGTTGATTTATTAGAGAAAGAGAAAATGAAATTGGTCAGTACCTGCATAAGAAGTACTTCATTGGCTGAAGTGGGACTGGTATAAATTATACACATAGATTATATATATATATATATATATATATTTTATATAGCCAAATATATTTTTTGTTAGCATTATCGATAAAGAAAGTGAAGAAGCAATCAACAAAAATTATCATTAATAAACTGAAGAACAACAAAATCATGCAATGAGTAATTATATTGCAGCTAATGGAAAATAAATCCCTATTGAATTTCATGCTTAAATTAAAACAAATTATAATACATCATTTTACCTCCTTTTGAGATGCCTCAATGGTTCGCTACAAGAAAATATGGATATGTAAACTACATATGAAATATTCAATATAAAAGTTAATAAATAATTTTGAAATATTTACTTCATAAAGTCGTAATAATATTCCAGTGGCAATTGAGCGCATTTCAGGCCTGAAGAAAGCAGTTCGTAAAATGATGTCCATCAAATAACTAGTATTAGTTGGTTCGAACATCCAAACTTTACTTAATATCTCTAGCCAAAGCTGAGCCAAAGGACCCGGAGATGAAAGATTGTACCTGGATATTAAAATTTGTAATCATCAAGTATGAATGTCACTATAATAATGAACTTAACTAAACAATCTATAAATGAATTTACAGCAGTCCCTTGTTACATGAACTTGGTAGGTACAGAACTTTCCAGTTCTTGTTATACAGAAATATAATAAAAAAACATGTCTGTCTGATCCCATTTACAAAATGTTTATATTTCTTATTCAAATTATTATATTTTTAGATATCAGGGAGACCAGAAAAACAATGTTGTTTCTGTGCATGTCACTATGTTAATGTAATTTATTAGCTCATTGAGAACATCAAAGTCATGGCAAAGACATTCTAAGGTTATAGTGACCTGTTTAGTTGCAAATAATTAAATTAAATTTATTTTTTTGCAATTTTGGGTGAAATGGCCAGTCAAATACCAGTAAAGGTATATATCAGGCACTGCATGTTTTTTGAGTTTCGCTAGGGTAGTAATGTAACAGTTGCTAAAAAAAACATTTGCGATGTTTATCCAAATGCATTACATATTCGTAAATGCCAAAGGCTGTTTTTCAAGTTCAAATCTGGTAATTTTGATCTTTCCGGCCTATATCGATCAACATTAGACAATGTCAGTCTATGTCAGGCAATCAAGGAATTGTCAAACAGCCTTAACTAACCTTGGTCGACTATCCACCGATCCACCACATGAAACTTATTGCTTTAACGACACAATACAGAAGCTTTTTTTGAATGCTTGATCACCAGAGGTGAAAAATGGGTCCTCTATGATAATCCAAAAGGCAGTGGCTCTCTCTAAATGAATAGCCACGAGATACTGCAAAGCCAAGTTTACACCCCAAAAAGACCCTTTTGTGACGTACACGCGCAGTTTATTTTGAAGTGCTGAAACTTGGACAAACTGTAAATGCAGACTTTTACTGTGAACAATTGAATTGTGTAAATCAATCTTTAATTGTAAAGTGGCCAGTAATTGTCAACAGAAAAGGCATTATTCTGCAATACTATACTGCACTGTGCAAGATGAACTCTGGAAAAAAATTAATGAATTGGTGTGGGAGGTACGGTCTGGCCTCATCCACCATACTTGCCTGATGTACCATCGGATTTCCATTTATTCGATCGCTTTAACACTTTCTAAGTGGCAAAAGATTTGCAAATTTGGATGGTGTCCATAATACCATCTCTATATATTTTGCTCAAAAACCAATTGATTTTTTATCGATCCGACATTGAAAATTTGCACACTAGATGGCAAACAGTTGTTGATAATGAGGGTGATTACTTGATTGGTTAAGAAAAAAATTTATGTGGTTGAATCTAATATAAGAAAATGACATTACTTTCTGGTCCTCCTAATATATTAACTGAAGTTACAATTTTTACATTCAAAATATATCACTTATTCAATCGATTTCTGTAAAATTTCACCAATATTCAACAAGCTTTTAATTCCTCACTCATAAAACCAAAAATTAAAAAAAAAAGTCTGACAATCACTAAGATAGATGATTTCAATAGCATCACCATTATTGAACACTTGGATAGTAAAAAAATAGGACAAAAACATTTATGTTACTATGTTCACCTTTCCAGATCAAGAATAAACATATAGAAATTCCATGACATAAAAATTGAAAAATTAATACTTTTTGTGAGCTTGGAAAATAGGAAAAGAGGCGAGTGAAATCGAGTGCTCCATAATTACAATATAAAAAATATCTTTTGATAATGTTTTTACTTTATAAAAAAAAAAACTTTATAAACAGAATCCTATTTATAAAATATTTATAACAGAAAAATTAAACCACTAACTTGCGAAATGTATCCAAGTGCATTTGAATTAAGTCTCCAAACTGTTTAACAATCATTCCAGGAAAATCTGAAGAAATGAGATTCTTAGCAAGACGAAGAAATGTTTTATCAGCGGTAACTAGACTCTGTATTACTTGGGTAAACCTATATGAGAGAACAACATTGTAAAATGAATCATGGTAAATTTAAGCAAGTGTACTTAATCATATCTGTCTATTTACTAACAAATCATTAGAAAGTAATGCCTCTTGACATTCAATAAAAAGGGGGACGATGTGTTGTAGTATAATCAGGACAGCAAAATAGCGATGGCATTGGGCAAGTGAGAGAAGCATTGAGAAGCCAGTATTACATATTAAAGGAATGCTATGTCCAGTTGATGTCATCAGCATCGCTGTAAATATGGCAGTCATTTGTTTGTCTTTTAAAGCTCGAACTAATGGTGACAACTCCTAAAAAAAAATAGAAAATATTACAAAAAGACAACAACATAAAGGCAAGAATTGTATCAATCAACATTTAAAATACATACATTTGGTAAGGATTCTAATGATGGTAATATTGAGAAATATTGCATTGGATTTGAGAGAGTAGCCCAGACATAAGGATCAGGTTGGTCCATCAGGTGGAGACGGAGCTTAAATAGCATCTCCCAGACCCATGCTGACAAGCAATATTCAGATTGACTTTTACCCAATGAACCAGTCAGTTGAGACATCTACAACAAAATGAAATTATTAATAGTGGCCAGTACCTCAACATCTTCAGTGCTCAAAACATGCCCGGATGATGACCCACAGGCTTGAGTTGAAGCACCAATAAAAACCTTAAAAATGACTATGTCCTGACTATTTATCTCCTATGAAACTATCAATAGCTCCATAATGTCATGAAATCAAATCTAATCTACATATAAGGTTTAGGAATTTATCTACAATATAAAATAAAAAAGTTTTGAAGCAAGTCAAATAGTAAACTGCCTTAGGGTGAGCCATCAATGATTTAATATTTAGTCAATCAAGATTAACCTAGTAATAGTTTAATAATAATAAAATCTAACTAAAAAAAAATTCGAAAGAGAACAAGTTTATATTTATTTATTTTAATGTTCTAGCCTACATTTTATGCTTTATATAGATTAATATCAGAGATAAATATTCGGGCAATAGCTTGTATTATGAGTTAATACAAATAATGATAACAATAAATTGTATTTTAAGTTATAAGAAGCATTACTAAGGAAGAAAAAAAAAATGGATATTGAACTTAAATATTGAGTATGAGACATATTGTTTCTCCAAAGTCAAAAACAAAAATTTGTAAATAACAAACTTTGAAAAAATGAGATTTGAATTTTGGCTTTTAGAAATCGCATTCCCTGTTTTATTATTACACAAATCACCTTAACATTTATAGTTTCATATATGGAAACAAAGTGCAAAAATAAATGTAAACTTGGGTACGTTTTAAGTTTATAACTGTATAAGTAATCATGATTAAAAAAAAAGCTATGAGAAATAGAAAAGATCTTTACAGAAGTTAGAGTTTTATAGCTTCAGCGTTTGGCAGATATAAACCAGACACTATGAAATATAGAATAAAAAATATAAAATGATATTCCACTTTTGGAAGAAAATCAAGTTGGATCTCTATTGATATGAAAAAGAATGGGGTATAAATGAAATTAGTAATAAATACTTGGGACAATTACGGTTAGACATTTTCAGGATCCAAACTTTTACTAACATTGTAACAAATAAAGACAAATTTCTTTCCAAATATTGAGGATATCGTGGAGTCAAGATATTAGTATCACTCTAATTTTGGGAACAATTACTCTTCTATGTAGATTTTAATTTGGATTTTCAACTATAGTTAAAAAAAAAAAGAATGCACATCCATCAAGTAACAAATATTAATTATAAATATTTATGGTCAGGAACAGGAACAGTGAAAAAGTTTATAGTAAATGTTGATGCAAAATTAAATAATACTCAATAAGGTTAATTAATTCAACAAATCTACTTTTTTTTTAATATTTAGTTTTTCCTATTTTTAAGAAAATTTCGGATCAAACTAAATATTAACTTATAATAAAAAACAATGAATTTCTAATGCCGATTATTCATAAAGGTCTATATAAAATAATTCTAAAAAAAAAAAAATTGGTAAATATTTTGTACCAATTGATAACTTTAAATATAATAATTGATTTAACCTGTTTTATAGTATCAGTTATGGCAGCAGTTCCTGATGAAGAAGTGGTCTCAGGACAATGCAGCAGAGCTAGCCGTACCACAAGTAATGCCACATGACAATGGATCTCTCTTTTTAAGAAGAGTTCAACGGAAGAGCTGCAACAAACAATGACCACATTGTAATCACGTCACCTGCATGACTTGAAAAAATGTATACATTCCAGAAACTCTCACTACATTAATATTGTTAAGATAAATAATGATTTTAAATGGTTCAAAGAATCTACAATACCTAAACTGATTATTCCAACAGATTTTTAAAGGGTGATTCAACATATATTATACAGGGTACGTGACATGGAATTGGAACTGGATCCATGATAGAAATAATTTAAGAGGAGCCACCTGAGCAAACCTTGTTGTCACCTTCGCTTCCTCACCCAAGGGGGGAGGGGGTGGCCATCATTGGGTATGTCTACTGCTTACTAGAGAAGAGGTCTCAGGCTGGTTCCAAGAAAAGATCTTTTGTGGAATGCTAAGGCTACAAAACAATTACACATTAAGTTGGCACCTCTGACAGGGAAACAGGGGGGGAGGGTCCTGACATAGGATATCAAGAAATTTTTAGAAAAATATATGGACTGGTCTGCTCTGGGGAAGAGTGAAGAGTAAGAAAAAAGAATGAATTGCAAGCATGATCAACATATGTGGCCATATTTAAAAAGGATAGGTAGAGGTGGCTTGGTCATGTGGAGTGTAAGAGGGCAAACCAACTTCCACAACAATTAACGTATGGAAAGTCAGGAGGATTCCGAAGACATGGATATCCTAGGATGAGATGGTGAGATAAGGTTGAGACAGACCTACAGCAACTTGGAGGATAGAGAACTGTTGCTGTCGACAGACCAGCCTAGCAGGCTAACTATGAGAAGACCAATGCTCTTGAAGGGCAGTAGTACCAAAAATAATAATAAATGAAAGTAACAAGAAGAAAAGAAAAAGGTATACTTTGAATTGGTTCGTGTATTAATGTAATTCCAAATGTTTAATCTTCTGTTCTAGAGACAGATGCAGAAGAGAACAGTGGATAAATTAAAGGTAAGCTGTGTGAACAGGTAATGGTAATTTGTTTACTAGTAGCAGTGCCTTGTCACACAGGTATGTATAACACCCGATTGCTGCGAATACTCATATTGCTTTTAAGCTAATGTATAGTGAAAAATAAAGTTCACTTCTAGTAGTGTAACTACATTCCTGAAATACAAATATGAGGAAATTTATTGACTTATTATTTATTTTTATAACTACAAAATCTATCTGTCACAGATATAAATAAAGAATAAGAAATGAGTGACTTACTTGTGTGAAAGGCCCCAATGCATATTACTGAGAATATATCGAGACAATGAACCTTCTATAGAACTGAGAGGACATGTTAAAAGCCAATGTTCTATCAGACTTAAATCATCTTTATTAGGAGTCCAATAAACAAGAGGGATTTCACGGAAGAGATACAAACTAAGCTGAAAATTAAAAAAAATCTTAAAAATACTCAACTATTCTAGCCGTACAGTTGATAGAATGACTAACTTCAATTTCAACATTTTTGACCATTAATTTTAGCGATATTTCTAGTGGGAAAATGTATACTCTTATTCACAGTTCTATAATTCAACACTGCAATCACCTACTCCGGAATCATGTATAGTTATTTTTAATTTAAACATAATAATAATAATAAAATTTAAACATCTCTTACTCACTGTCGGTACAGGTATTATAAATTTTCCAACTAGAAATATCATTGGAATTATTTTAATTAAAAATGTTGAAATTGGAGTTGGTCACTCTGTCAACTGAAAGGCTCATTTAATAAAAAAAGAAAATTTATAATAAAGTAGACATACATTTCCAGCCTGTGGTATACAGTTCTTAAGTTTGTCAAGAATAACTGAAACTAATGAGGGATATTTGCTAGCCAGGTTGGAGAGAAGAGTTCTTGAGATCTTGTAGCAGTTATCTCTTGTAGAGGTGTTAATAAAACCAATCTAGAATTAAAATATTTAAAAATGCTAACAAATTAGTTTAATCAGAGATGAACTGTAAGTAATTCAATCTTATTATAAAATCTTCAACCGAGTAATGATTATGGTTCCTGAATTGTATATTTATACTATTCTGAAGGGACTAGTTATACCAAAATAACCAATAAAGATATCATTAATTAAAGCACTTACTTGTAGAAGATGGGTAGTAACAGCTTTTATAAAGAGCCAATCATTAACAGTTCTAGCTAAAGCCATGTTTGATACAGCTGTTAGAACATAATATAGTTCCACTTCACTTAGGGTTGGGATCAAGTCTTCAACTCCGACCCACCACTCATCGGCATTCCGACAGAAAGAAACCTCTGAATAGATTAAATTAAACAAAAACAGAGTTGACAACAAATTTAATAATAAATTTTAATAAATAAAAGTAATATTACCTGTTTTGGTAGGCTGCATGACAACATGAAATAATTGCCAAATTGTTTTAAGTGTAACTGATGAAAATGGAAGAGCAGTGAGAAACTGAAGAACACTTTTATGTTGTGGTCCTAAGAGAGCATGACAAGCAGAAATCACAATGTTGTCATACTCTAGTTGGAGACGTTCAATAAGACATGCATCGTGGCATTCTGTATTGTCCCTTCTGAACAAAATCACATACGATTTAATTTTTGAGAATTCAAGAAATAGTATTTTATGAAATCAGAAAATATCATTAAAATAAATTATGGAATGAGGTGATTGCTTACCTATAAGCTTCCCATAAGTCGGTAACATACTGCATTGTATGAGTGAGAATACTCGCTAATCTTTTACAGAATTGTGAATGAGATTTGGTCTCATAAGATCGCATGCCTTCAGACAGAAGCTTCATAAGCAGTCTAGATAAAGCAAAAATTCTAAGAAGCTGACTGGAGCTCAAGGAAATATATACGTCAATATCATCTCTTTTCGTCAGTTGCATCATCTATAACCAAAAATTTAAACATTTATAAAAAAAAAAATGGAAGAGTGGCATCTAGAAAACTGTCTGTCACAATTGAAGAGTTAAATAGATACTGGTGATAAAAGATTTTTTGAAAAAATTGAATAGGGTGATTTATTTATACTTCCTTCTTACAACTAAAGACAACTAACATATGTAAAGAAGGAACATAGACGAATTAAAAAAAATATGATAGAAAAACATGAAAAAAAAAAATCTGGAGTGTCCACTCACACGATTTTCCTAATTATTTCAGAAAAGTTTTTATATCTTTACATATACACATCAAGAAACAAAAAAAATTGAATTATATTTATTTCCTGAAAATTGATCAATGAAAAAATTTGAGTATGATTTATTTGATAAAATAAAGCAATGTAAACTGGCTTAAGCTATATCAGTGTGAAAATTTCAATACCATCTAATATTGGAGATCAACAACTTTTTGCCATAGCCTAATTTTGTCAAACAATAATTTCTATTAAAAGTAGAGGAACTAGTGAAGTTTGCGTGATGAGGGAAACAGATTTTCTCACTTTCACTTATTTATCTTTTTTCTCTCATTTGCACCTTTCTGACACCAGGAACTGAACCCGAAGGAGGAAATAAACCAGTAATCTTACATTGGAAATCGAATAGCTGTAACTTCATTAATAGTTGTCAGAAATGAACGATTTTTATATAGTTTTATAGGGAATTTCATTAACTTTAAAAAAAACGGGCTAAACAGTTTTTAATAAGGAGGCCCTGATAAATCCGTCGAAAACCGGATATCAGAAATTTGACTCTATCTCAATACTTTTCTTGCCTAGTATAGATAGGAAAGTAATAAATTAAAACATGTGAAGAAAATAGAATAAGTTGTATCATCGCTAATACTAGTTCGATTTTGATGTTTTTTTTTTTTTTTATTTTGTTGATAATTTAATTACCTTTCAAAAGTTTTTTTGACCCCAAAACATTTTTCTTTTCTTTATGACTTTTTTCCTGAATTTTCTTAGGAATTTAGTCCATGTAGGAAAATTGAAAGGACAATTATTAGAACTTTATAGGAAAGTTTCAATCTCTACACCGAAAAGTAGAAGAGAATATTGAATAATAAGAAGAAGAAGATAGGAAAGTTTCATCAAAATCGTTAGAGCCGTTTTGGCACAACAGTCTGTAGAAAAACATGGTTTTCATTTATTGCGCATGAAGCACTCAATTTGTGTCACAGGCATCAGTAGTCAAAACATAACAAAATAAAAAAAGAAACAACAAAATCGGTTTACTAGTTAACGAGAAAATCTTGGCACATACAGGCAGACCAATGGCTAAAAATGTATTTTTCGGACTTAGGAGGCTCTGAAACGTATAGATCCCTCGAAAACCGCATATGGAAAATTTGACCTGACCGCAATACTTTCCTTACCTAGTATAGGTCAAAATAATATGTAAATATTTTTCAAGATTCGAATTCCCATATAAGATACTACAATTAGGGATGGACAATTCCGACTACAGGTTGGAACGGAATGTTCCACTACTGCAATTAGTTCCAGTTCTCCTTCCGTTCCAAACAACACTTGAAACGAGATAGATAATAATGAAGCAAATATACGTAATACAAAAACTATTTAAAATGACAGAAAAGTCATCGAGGTTGAAGAAAATTAAAATAAACGGAGAGAAGTACAGAAATGAATAAACAAAAAAACTAACCGGACGTACTAAGAACATTAATGATAGCCCGAGAGCAACATTCTCCAGAAGGGACAAACAATCAAAGATAATGATTGTATTAAACAGGTACTTAGAAAAGGATATTTTAGACGAGTGTTCTATTAAGTTGTGGTTTGGTATGTTATACAACCACCCTAATTTTGTTTTTATTTTCCTGTTTTGGCATGAATGGACCGTGATCACAAGGGTCAATTGTGTGCCATGTAATAGGCATTTTCTATTACAACTACACTGATTTGAACATAATTGCCAAAGAAATGTTGAATAAAGTCGCCACTTTGGTTCCATGGCCAACAAATTTTTTCAATAGCTGACATGTTGATTAACGAACATTGGACTCAACTATCAGCTTATCAAGTAAAAAAATTGATGTTTTTAATTTAATTTATATTATGGTTTTACCGTTTTGGTTTTTTAAATCTAAATTGTTTTTATCTCTATTTATTTAAATATAATTCTGCAATAAAACTATTTTTTTGTTGGAAAAATTCATATATTTATCTTATTAATTTTCCTTAAATATTCCCTACCCCAAGCTAGAGAAAAATATTATTGAATAAAAATCCATTTCTATTTTCTATTTTACTTTTTTATTATACATACAGTTGTATTAATTTAAGGTTAACTAATTTAAAATAAAAATAACAACACACATAGACATATAATCATAATTATTCTAGAATGGATGCTAGAATGAAATTTCAGATTGGGACAAAAATAGAACGCAATGGAACCAAAAACGTTCATATTCCAATGGAACGCTATTCCGTAAGCCACTCGGAACGAGAAAGACCGTTCCAAGTTGAACCATTCCGAACCGTTTGAGGAGTATAATGGAATTTAAGGCCACTCGGAACGAGAAAGACCGTTCTGGTCAGAACCATTCCGAATAGTCCCCGAACAGAAACCGAATGGTTTCTTTGAACCGGTTCAAGACATTTTCATTACAACTAGTTCTGTTTCCTCTTTGTTCTACTGTTGGAATGTGACTTAAAAAATAATTTTTTTTTATTTACAAAATTTTTTAAACAATATTGATATCTCTCATCCCGTTTATAGGTAGCTAAAAAAAAAAAAAAATAAAATGCAAAATCTGAGGTTTTTTAAATCCAAATAATCTGATAAATAAACAATGATATAAAGTCTCCTATGACAAATTTCATTTTCACAAGAGAACTATATGTTTATCATTCTTAATAATCATAATAGTAATAAAATTTGATTAAAATAATTATTTTAATATTATTTATAATTATCTGAATCTTAGAATTTTAATTAATATTTATCAAACTTGCAAATTACTATCTTAAAATCATGGTTGGAATCTTATTATATTTTAATTTAATTGAATTTTTATATTTAATCAAACACTAAATTAAATTTAGTCGTTATGGTTCAGTTTTGAAGCAAACAATCAATTCAACGATTACTTCGGTGGCAATCTGCTATAGCGCACTCACCTCAATTAATATAAATCCCTTTTATAAAACCATTAAATATTTACATTTTGCTCTTAGATTACGTTCCAGGGGAAAGAAGCTTTCAAGAGTCGTGTTCCGTTCCGGTTGTGGAATTCGTCTCACGAACCGCTCTTTTAGGTCCATTCCTAACTAAAGCACATTTTTCTATAGATAATAGTTCACCTATCACTATGATTTACAAAATAAATCTAATTGACCAGATGTTTCAGTGCATAAAGGAGATAATTACCTTAAACTAAGTTAAATAGAGATCTAGCATATTTCCTAGAAATAAGAGATCAACTTTCTTTAAAAAATGTGCCAGCATCACACTTCATATTGAATTTTCTCAGAATTGTAAATATGTAACTAATCACCTTTATCCACTTCAATCATTTAACTATTAAAGAAGATAATGTTATAAATAACCTGTCGAAATAGACTTTCTAATGGAATTTGATTGAGAATAGCTATAATGTCATTTTCTTTAAGACATGTAGGCGGGATCGAGGTATCTTCACAGTCTTCTCCATCAGAATCGACAAACACCCATACCTCTTCACTACTTGCTTCCATCTACACACAAAAGACAATACTTTATACCATAAATGAAATATTGCATAAAATTATAATCATATTCTAAAAAGTTTGAAAAATAACAAAACATTTTAATAAAACAAAACAAATTAAAGAGATTGAGGTGCTAAACAGAAACTTTTATTCTGAATATAAAACAGTAAATGATAATACAATGAATGAAAAATAATTTTATTTTGAGACTAAAATCCACTTACAATAACAGCAGAAGTTCAAAACATATCTACATCAGTTTGGTATGCTGTTATAATACAAATATATACAGAGACTCCAAAGAAAATTACAATTATATACAAAAAATATTGAAAGAAAAATAAAAGTAAAATGGCAATTAATTGTTGAAAAACAATTATAGTTTCATAACCTGAAAATTCTAATAAGCTTGCGGAAATTTGAGTGTGGAGTAGGTGGAGGGAATAAGAGTTGTTTGAAGAAATTTGTGGAAATGGTTTGACGAATGGAGATAGGTATAGAGTTCCAAAAGGAAGTAGCACAAATGACGAAGAATTTGCTGAAGAAAGTGCTTTTATGGGAGGAGATATATAAATCTACAGGTTGAGATCTGGTATTAAGAGAGTGTATTGAGGAACATAGAGTAGGGAGATCTAGGATGTAGGGAGGATTTTTGGTTCTGCCATCGGAAAGTAGGAGAGTCACTTCAACTCAGTGTATAAGAAAGAAACATGGGAATGCCTGGGGATCCCAAAGATGAAGCAATTCATGATTCTCTTCAATCTCTCCTCCAGTCTTGTCGACAAACCTCCATACACCAAGAAACCGTAGCCGAATAGGGAAAAACAAGGGATTTTACAAGGAGCTGTCTGGTGTTTTTTTGGAATGGATTTACGGAATCATAGGAATTGTTTAAGGATAGTTATAGATTTTCGGATAATCTGGGAAATGTGGTTATTCCAAGAGAGGTTCTGATCAAAGATCAGTCCGAGATTTTAGACAGTTGAAAAAAAATGGATGGGGCAGTTATTGAGGTAAAGTAAAGGAGAGAAAGGAAGGGAACTAATGAGGTGCTTGGAACCGATGAAGATTGCCCCAGTTTTGTCTGTTCAGCTTTAGTTTGTTTTTTTCTGCCCACCTGTGTCAATATCCTCTTGCAGTTATTAGGTAACCTCAGGTATCTCAGAAGGTTGGAATGATGGGTAAATTTGGAGATCGTCTGCATATAAGTGATATTAGGAGTGATGAATGGAGTCAGAATATAAATGGAGAAAAGGTTCGGAGAGAGTGAGAAACACTTCGTGATAACTGAAGGGATACGGAAGGAGATTTGTTTGAAATAACAACTGTCTGGGAGCGATGGGATAAAAAGGAGAGAAACCATTTTATAACGCTATTCGATATGGATAAGCTTTGGAGTTTGGAAAGGAGGATATTATGATTGACTGAACCGAAAGATTTTCAGAAATCGAATTTCTTGGGTCTTGGGTTTTATACAATGTACAATTAATTCAAATATAGTAGAATCCCAGTAATTAAAATAATAATAACTCTTGGGAAGCTTGCAACCAAAGAAGGAGATTTCCGTTTTGACTGAAATTGATATTTCGATCATGTCTGTTAGGTTTCTAAAGCTGTATTTAATGGTAGCTCTGCTTCAATAACAAATATTTTTCCTTAATGTATAATAATTAATGGAATCATTGTTTTTGCAAGCAAACTGAGTATCTCCAAAATTTTCATTGACAAGTCTGCACTAATTGCTAAATGCTTGTTAAACTTAGTATCTAATAAAAAAAAAAAAAAAACAGAGGTTCTTTCAAAATTGATATTTAATTTAGCTTCTGAGATTATGATTTGTATCTTCAAAACAATATTATTTTCTAGATCTAGAAGTTTTATAGATTTCTTCTAGTCTAGTTTTCTCTGCCTCAGCTTTTACACAATTTCTTTCTCTTCTATTTCAATAGAATAGTACAGTTAACTACAGCTTGAACGCACCACCATAAATCAGTAACAAGTTAATGAAGACATTCAAGCATTAGCCAGAAAAAAAATTAATAATGTTGATATTTGTTAACATTTTAAATCATTCTATCCACAACACTTCAATTAGAAAAGACATGAACAACATATTAAAGTTAAAATATTTTGTAAATATAATACATACTTATTATCTATAGCAAATAGAAATACATATTTATAAATTACATTTTCTTCCATCAGTCATGATATTTGGAAATCGTATTTAATTTAATATATTGGTGAATTGCATTACTTTTTATTTATTTTAATAAACCTTTACACAAATGCACACTCTGTGGCACCAATGCTGCAATAGTATTATCTACGTGTTTTATTCAATGGATTTTGTTTTATGAGGTATAATGCACCTGATCATCTATTCATGGTACTTGAGTTGTTCAACGTAATAAAAGGTAAATGAGCCCATCACTACTGTCCCGATAATGTGATTTCAAATACTTGATCTTCTCCTGTTTTAAGTCACTTAAACAGTTTTTGCTATACTGGCACTAATTGACTAAAGAAAGAGCAAATAGTATGACTTTTTACGGAGTCAAGATAAATAGTAGAAAAATCAGATCATGACAAGACGTCTCTTGTGAAAATTAACAATAGTACTACTTAAGGAATGAGAACTAAAAAAAAAAAATGAATAATTTACAGTGAAAAAAAATAGTGAATAATAATTAAAACAATCACCTCTTGGATAAAACGATTTCTTTCTGCAATAGGTTTTATGATAGTAGCAAGAGTTGCTATCATGTGATTCAAATAGTTGCCAGGATTATGACAATTGAAGGGTGCAGAGGGTGTCTGAATAAAACTCGCTGCCCATTTTATAACGTTGGTAGGGCATCTAAAAATAATATTAATGATTTTTACAAATAATAAAAAAAATATTATCAAATAAAAAAATATTCAAAAACTTTGTTTATGTACTATAAATATACTAAAAAATACTTATATCATAGGTAGAAATAAATAAAAGTATTTAAGTTTTTTTGAATAGTTTATAATGTACCATGTTCGTATAAATCCATTACACTGAAAAAGCCAAAATCTCTTTCTGTCAAGACAATTTTTTATTTTTTAAAGTGATTAGTTCTTTTGTTTTTCACATACATTTTGGATGTTATTCAGTTAATTAAAGGCAATTAATCAAGTATTTTTAATATGTAAGAAATAGGCATGTATAATCCATTTGGGACAAAGCTGGTGATTTATATATCTTTATTGTTGAGTAACAGTGAATAGTAACAACAACGGAAATAAGTTTTGCTTTTCATTATTTTGTCAGCCGATGTTTTGGCTGAATGATGTGGTCAGAACACTGTGCAACAGTTAATCTGTCAAAGGAACACTATAATATAAAATAGTGATGATATATAATCCTTACAATTAAAAATAATGCAATATTAACAAAAAGAATATCATCATTAAGGTAAAATATCATAGTTCCCATAAAAATACCTCAAGACGTGATTCAAAATGAACATATGCTGGCTCCAAGCAGCAACTCTCAACAAGATTGCAACAAGTCTAGTAAGCCACACTTTGATGTCTGCCTTGAATTCTACATCTGAAATCGGTTGACGTTGAAAGTAAAAAAGTACTGAAATCGCAGAACATAAATCTGTTGTACGAGTAACACTATCACTTGTAAGGCAAACAGGCATGTTATGAGGAAGTGAAGAGAATTTTTCAGTTACTCGACAAATGTAACTATCAATCTATAAAAAAACATTAATTTGTATTTTACTAAAAAAATGTTAACAAGTAAAATATTACTTTTAGATAATACACGTAAATGAGTATTAATGAAAAAAATATGAAGATATAAACCTTTAATTTTGAAACTTGACAGCTGTAAGTATACAGGGAATGTTGTTCATTTACCATTTCACGGACATTAGCAAGTTTTGATGATAATAAATTAAATGAAGCTTGCTCGAACTTTCCAACCTGGTATTCATGACTGGCTTCAACTGGATTCCCATCCTAAAATTTGATTTTAAAAAGTGGAAAATAATAAATTTAATATGTCATCAATGATCTTTATATGTCAGTACATGTCATTTTGTAGATGTGGTTTATTGAACTTTTAATATGTTATATGCCCTTTGTGCCACTGGAACAAATTTGTGGGAAGCATTAGTGCCACGTTAACCAACGAGGTAGGGTATTTTATTATTTATCATCACATTTCTCTCAGTGGAACCTGTCCACTAGACGATTCTCAAGAGGGATCGTCTGAATATACAAAATAAAGACCCGTGAACCAATAGGTACCCAGTGCTGGGGAGTATAGCCCGAGCCACCCTTTCTGCTGAGGAGACACAAATATTCAGGAGATCAGTTGTCCCAAGGATATGGGGCCTCCATCGCTAGGCTAATAATCCGTATGGTAGGATAGTCTATTCAAAGTCAAAAAACCAGCCTCAGATGTGGATAGATCTCATGGAGACGACCTGGCACTCATAGGGATTAACAATTTGGAAATTGGAATATAAAGACATTGACAGGAAAAGAGGTTGAGGTTTTGGAAGAGATGAAGACATATAAGATGGACATACTTGGGATCAGCGAGGTTAAGAAGAAAGGAATTGATGAAATAAAACTGGATAGTGATTACGCTCTTATATATGCTGGAGTTCCTCAAGAAAACTTCGCGAAGGACTCCAACAATGTATAAACAAATGGAAGACTGGGAGCCTATCTCACCAAGAACAATTGCTGCAAATTTTATGTTGGCCATTGGAAAAGTTACTTTAGTGCAGGTATACGCACCAATGGAGCAGAAATCTTGGACAAGGAAGCGTTCTTCTCTGACTTGCAAGTATTGCTCAACAATACTCTTCATGGAGAGGAAAGTGTAAGAAATGGAAATGGACAACACCTTATTGAATTCTGCATAAAATGATATGCTGGTGGAAAATTCCTTCTTACCCCACAAAACAATACACAAAATAACTTTCTCAAGCCTGGAAACAAACAGCATTATAGACTATTTCGTTTTTGACAGTGGCATAAGACACTATTTTACTGATATAAAAGTTATAAGAGGCCCTAAAATTGGCAGCGATCATCTGCTGCTGATAGCCAATACTAAAATTCCACAGAAATGGCAAATTAAACAAAAGAGCTACCAAGCAGTGAACATAAGAGTTCTAGACGACCCAGAAAAGAGAACCTCCTACACTGGAAAGAAAATTAAGAACCATGAGCCAAGAGGGGGATATAGAACAACAGTGGTGCTTCTTAAAATCCTGTATCCTGGAACCTGCAAGGGAATTTCGCAGCTTGAGCAAAATATCTAATAAACAAAAGTGTACACAGAGGTGGAATGAGGAAATACGACCTTTTGTTCAATCAAAGAAGAAAGGGTGGAAAGCTTATCTTCAAAACAAAACAATTGGAAAACTAGACGAATACTAAAAAGACAGAAATCAATGAAAAATAGCAGTCCAGCAAGTTAAATGAGAGTCATTGGAAAGATTCGGAAAAAGTCTCGATGAAGACCACCGGGAAAGTATTAAGAAGTTCTGATGTAAAGTAAAGATATTAAGAGAAAAAATAAGCAAGTCAGTGAGAAATTTCGAACACTCTAGTGGCAGCATGATCACCGAAGAAGTGAAAATTCTCGAACGGTGGAAGAAGTTCGATCAGGGACACTTCTCAGGAGGAGAACTCACTGACCCAGAAGAACATCTGGTAGAAAAAAATAATATTCTGGAAAGTCAAGAAGTCATTGAGGAAGACGATATAGAATATGCCATCCAAAAAATTAAAATAGGTAAAATGGCAGGAAGAGATGGCATAGCACTCGAATTAATAAAATTTAGAGGACAGGAATTAATTAAATTTCTCCAACAATTCCTCCAAAAAATATGGGATACAAAGATAGTCCCAAGGGATTGGGAGTTCAATTTAATTTTCCCTATTTATAAAAAGGGTAGTTCCACAAAGAAATTGTAAGGATTAATGGTAGAGAGTCCAAGTCTTTTTCCATGGAGAGAGGAGTCAGCCTAAGCCCCCTCTTGTTCCTCATATTTGTGGATGAAATTCATAAAATTTGTACGCGTCTTACTGCTTGGATGGTTATCAGAAAATGGAACATGAGGAATATTATGGCCCAAAGCCTCCTACTATATGCTGATGACATCATTCTGATTGCGGACACGAAAAACAAGTTGCAGTAGTACCTTGTAGAATGGCAGGAAGAACTCCTCCGCAAAGGTAAGATTATCAATAGTTCCAAAAGCAAAGTCCTAGTCATATCAAGAGATGAACAAGAGGAAGTCCAGCTGATCTGTAATGAGGAGGTACTCAAAGTTGTGCAAGAATTCACCTATTCGGAGACAATAATCAGCAACACAGGGAAGATTGACTCAGAAGTAGTGAATAGGATATCCAAAGCCAACCAGGTCTATTACCCTATCTGCAACAGCATAATTGGCCAAAATGAAGTTGGCAAGGAAACAAAAAGGCACATGTACAAGTCAGTATACCTCCCAACTCTCACGTATGGAATGGAAAGCTAAATTATGCTGGACAAGCAAGTTTGCCTTGTGACAGCAGTCAAGATGAATTTCCTGCGGAGAGCTGCTGGAAAGACCAGGAATGAACGCATAACAGAGGATCTGGAGGTGGTGGAGCTAAGAACATTACTGGAAAACCAATAGTTGAAGTAGTCTGGCCACGTTTATCGGATGGAGAAGAAGTGAGATCCGTGAAAGGTTCTGTAAGCTCGACCCAGTGAAAGGAGAATTTCCTATCAGTAGTATATGCAGCGGATTGGAGGGGAGAGCCAAAACCCTTCAGGAAATGAGTCGGCTTAGTAGGGACCGAGAGGCATGGCTGCATTGAATAGAGGCTCCTCGGCGCTAGTAATGGCACAAAGAAAAGAATATCACGTTTCCAATATTTACCAGCATAAATTTATGCATTTCTAGTTCCTATTTCTAAATAAATCAGTAACGATGTAACAAAAATGCTTTGGTATAATAAAATAGAAACTTACCTGACATTCACCAGTTTCAGTTACTTTAACTGTTTCTAGAAGCCATAGTCTTTGTTGAATTTCTTTACATTCTTTCAAGGAACAGTCTATTTCATTAGCACTTGCAAGTTGCTTCTCCCTGGCTCTCAAATAATTAAAGAGAAGTGAATATAAAGGATGCTGTTGAATAGTTCCCGAATGAAGCTCAACATCCACAAATGAATCAATAAATTTGTCAAGTAACTCCAATTCATCATTTCGATAAATTGATAACAGTTGTGCTTCAGTAAATGGTTTAATATCACAAGATTGGCTTGCTAATTCAGTCAACTGCGAAAACTCATCTTCTTCTGAAGAAAGAAAACCAACACCTGCAGCAGAATCTTCAACATTAACATCCTTAGAATTTTCTGAATGAGCAAGATTATTTTGAAAATCTGTAGAAGTCGATTCAATATTAAGAATGTGCATCTTGTGATCAATCTCTGCTAATTCTGTACCACTATCAACTTCAATCTTATTAACAGAGTTATCAATAAAAGCAGGAGCTTGTAATGTAGGAGAATCATTTTGGTAATCAATTCCAGTTAAAAGAGTTTCCTTCTCCTTGGGATCACAAATTCTTTCGCAATAATTTTTTTCATCTAAACACAAAGTAGTACCCTCTTTTGTACCATTTTTGTCATTGATAACTTTGACTTCTTCAGGAAGAGCCTTTTTGTTTTGATTCTTCTTTTTCTTAGACTAAAAAAACCAAACAGAAAAGAAGCAATTATAATTCTATGTGTCATAAAGATTAACTCTATGAATTAAAATAGTTTTTCAAGATACCTTTGTTGCTTCCATTTTGCTAAATTTAGTTAATAAATAGATCACATCTTAAGACATCAGTAAAAAAGTGTTAAGACATCAGTGAAGGAAGCTAAACAAATGTCAAACTGTTTACAAAAACATAGAGAGGTTACATTGTTATTATTGAGCATCAAGGTTAGGACAGTTTAATGTCACGTTTCTAGGAGATAACTATGAAGGGTGTTAGCTTTGTCTATAGTTACCTAGAGACTGTAGAGATTTATTTGATAAGGTATTCTTAGATCTAGTATAATCAATGTCCAGCTACTTCCATGAGAAAGATGCTTAAGTCTATTTCAGAAGGTAACCTAAAATTTATTTGTAATAAGACATTTTTTTATGAGACTTTGATATGAAAGGGGTTCTGAAGAAATTGAGGAAATGCACTTGTGTAACAAAACAGTGTTTTTTGAGAATTGACAATGGTATAATATCCCGGATAATTGGTTGTGTTGCTTCTGCCCTTATACCTCCAATTCACATAGCAACGCTATATTACTTTTGGCATCAGTTTTCAAGGAGAGTTGATCGTAGATATTGTTCCTGCTCTTGTTGGGATACAGTTTTTAAAGGTACATATATAATTAAAAATTTAGTTTATAATTTGTGAATTCGTATGTCATTTTAGACCAATCATGTATTTCAGGCACCTATGAATCTGGAATTGCCTCTTATAAACATATTTACTTTAATGCAACACTAAATACTGTTAAAATCTGGACTCTTACAGTATTTTCTATTATCATATTCTATGAGAGTATAAGACGTCTGGTATCTCTTGGCTTACAAAACAACTTGAGATATTCCATGTTAATATTGTTTTTATCAGCAATATTTTCTCATTACTATTCTTGGTATGTCTAATTGAAGATATTTATATAATTTAGGGTTATGGTACAACTTTGCAAGCCTCACTTCATCATGCCCAGCGGTTGTGCCAAGGTCACATCAATCAAACTGTAGATGAAATTATGTAAATGGCCAAGTACACTAGCTTTAATTTGATTGTGACTTTCGATTTCCCCTGGCAATACTCACTTAGATGAGATAAACAACTCCTTAAGAGATTTTTTTCAGTTGAGTTTAGAGCATATCAAAAGAATCTATTTTCGGGTAAACCCTTATTTTTGGAATTTCATTAGCCGAGTGATCTTGGCCCAACTGTCATGTTGGACTGACACTTGTACAGTAGTACACAGATTATTTGTATCCTCTTTGCTGAATGAGGATTTTTTCAGGTGGGCCTATGTAAATTATTGGAATGATGATTACTATGCCCAGTGGAACCATCAACTATTCTTTACTTCCACAGAACTGGTTTCAAGCTTTCTTGTTTTACAGTTAGCAGATGTAAAAGTTCCTGTTACTTCTAGAAAAGTTCTATCAATTGTTGGAGTCGCAATTTTGCACATTGTTGCCGGAAGTTTGGATCAATTTATATTAAATGTCATCAAAGGAGAAGGGCACATGCACCAGGTTGGGACTAATGTCTTTTAAGTCATATTTATTTTTTTGAAAGTAATGCAATATATTTCCTTTTTTAAGTAATCACCTAATTTAATTTGTTAAATATATTATTTAGTTGCGTCAGCCTAGTTTAATTTAAACAGTTTTATTTGTGTAGAATATTAACATTTTTAATCTATATTTTAAACTAAATAACTATATTTTAAACCTAGGTCTTAAGGGATCTTAGTTTTATGGTGCCTGACATCCTCCACGTTCTTCTTCCATTAATTGAGTTAAAACGCACATTCTCTAAAGGTATTAATTACTCTCCTGTTACTAGCTTTGATCTGAAGAAAGATTTGTGTATAATCACTAGCCTAATATCACTTGGTCTCATCTTGTGTATGCTGTTATGAAATTAAATTAAGATTTTTATGGAGGTAGGTAAGTAAATTGATTTAATAAATTACTATTATTGGTTTTTAAATGAGACAATTCATATTTAGGTTGTTGCCCAAACTATGCTTGAGAGAAATATTTGGCACTTCATTGTTACTTACTTTGAGTATATATTTTATGATAATATTCTCTTTTTGTGATGACAATAAAAAAATTATATTAATTATTTGTTATCTGTAACGATAAACTTCTGCCCACACTTTTTCTCGCATGAGCAGGTTGGTGTAATTATTCAATCACATGTATTTTTCAACCTCCTGTGCGGATTTTTATTCTCAAGGGAATCAGCCAAATGAGGAATCATTAGGCTTGAGGATTACACTTCTTCACGTCTAGGACACAACCAGACAACTAAGCTTTTCATTCTTGATGATATGTAGAGGTTCCATTAGTAATTACTCACTCATTTTCTTATGCTATGATGGCCAACCATACAAATATATCCTTGACAATACTTGTGCAAACTATCTTAACTCTTTTGAGCACTGAAAATACTTTTTAAAAAGTGTTCTGTAATCGTTGGGTATACTAGTATTAAAAAAAATGGAGACACATGCAAAAGTAGTATAATTTCTTGTATAACAAAAAAAAAAATTAAAAGAAAAGATAGTATCTGGGAAGAACATTTCATTTTGTATTGGCGCCTTTGTCAGAGACTCATTAGCCATGCGTATCCTCATTAGTCTTAACAACTATACTCATTTCTAAAGTCATCTAGTTTACTTGCTTGAGTGGGTAAATGCTTCTAAAATATCATACTACTATCAAATGGTGTGAAACTATGTCCAATATTATTTAACAGCTGCCATTGTTTGAATGTATTAAGTTTTATGACACATTATGTATTCAAAGGAATCATATTTGTAAAAATGTAACCCCTTTCCCTTCTCCTAGGAGGTCAGAAAATAGTTTTAGTTAATAAGTTAAGGGCTAAAGATAATGGAATTTTAATAAAACTAGTGTCCGCACTGTGATCGAAATTCAACCATAATCATGTTTGAACATTTACGGATAACATAAATGAATTTACATGTCTTCAATATTTCATTTTTACTCTTATATATTCATACATTCACTTTTACATGTACTTACAAAAGAAAACAGTGAAGTACCATTTTGTTTACTTTTTGAGTTACAGTAAAAAAAAAATGTGGATCCATCGTAACTTTTTTCAAAAACATATTTGAATCCACTTTTCCCACTTACCGAAAATTTGGCACAGAAAATTTTTATTTTTCAATTACTAAGAAAATTCGTATTTGAGGTTATTTCCAGCTATGAAATACCAATCTCAATTTTGATTTTCTTCAAAAAATATTTGAAGCTTGAATATTTGAATATTGTGCTCCTTCAGTTGGTACAAATTGTTTCATTTCAATACTGTACTTATATTATAACTATAAATTTCTAAAATGAGTTAGTCACAATAAAGCTCTCCTATTAAATATAAACCAAAGAAATTGTCCTATCAGCCATAATTCTTTACAATTTTGATGATTTGTTTTCCTTTTTTCTTATTTAGTAAGGAATTCAGAAAACTTTCAAATAAATATGGGTATTATAGACCAAAATGGTGTACTTTTTCAATTATTTGCAAATAAAATTCTGAATTCATCGTAACAATTTATGCAGCTTATTTTCAGGAAAGTAGGTTATATACGTACATTATAAAAAGTTAAAGGGGGAGACTTTAGACAAGTTTTGTTAAAATCTCTACAGCCATTTTGGTGCTATAGTCTAAGCGAATCAAGTTTTTTGTCCACCATTTGGAATCGAAAGGCTGTGTGATAATGAAATGTATATAAGCTTTTGGAGATTAGCTGTTTTGATCAAACTAAAATTTATATTCTTATTTATATACTCTATTTCATATTTTTATTTGTTGATAACACTAAACCTTGTCAATAGTTACTAAACAAAAAAGATCTCTCACTCTCTCTCTCTCTCTCTCTCTATATATATATATATATATATATATATATATATATAAAGTTCATTAAGTGTATTTTGATGAACTTAATGAAGTTTTGGAAGGATAAATATGAATAAAATTCACAAATACATGCCTTATAGTTTGGCTGCATCAAAAGTATACTTTTACGATAAGTCCACAATTAATTCTTAAAATGCTAAAATTCTTGATTCCTAAAAAAATGCTAGAGGTTTTTATGATAGTTTAATATGCAATGGTTTAACTCATTTATTTCTAAATATAGTGTTTTATAGATAACTATTTTGTTTTGTTTTTAAATTTAGACAGACAGGAAACTTCATTTGAAAAAAAGAAAGGAAAAAATGAGAAATATTGATGGAAGCATTTTTTTTCTAATTTCAACTGTAATGTTACAAAATATTGTAATTAAAGTAGTCACATCATCGTTAATTTAGGAATACTATATAATCCTAATGGTTTTATTGGTAGGACTGTTTGCTATGTTTAAATTGTTAACTATCCATACATGGCAGTGTATGAACAATATTTTGTAAATTCTGTTCAAAAAATAGTTTTTTCCAACAAATGAATCTATTATAGATTAATGAGGACTACTTAAAATCCCAAACAGTTTTATGATTAAAATTGTTATCAAATCTGTATAAATTTCATTAAAAATTCAATGTAACTTCCCAGCCTTTTTGTTTATTGGCCATTTTCGAGTAATATTATGTGATTGGGCAAGATCTTAAGCTCAGTGCTGAGCTTATAGACGGCATTATTCCTTGCTTAGAGACGGATCCCATGCCACTAATTAGCTCAGTACTGAATTTAGGATCTTACCCATCACCATCCTCTACAAATTATTTAATATTATTTAGTTAGTTTATTCAGTAATTTTTTTTATGATTTGTTAATGTTTCTTGAATCTGTAGTGTAATTAATTGCATTATTTACATTTTCTGTAATTGATATTGCTTCAAATGATTTTCTTCTGAATTTTCTTTATTTTTCAGAACTTTAAATTCTTGAAAATGAAAATTCTTATTAATGAATTTTTGTAATGTCTTTTCACCAATTTGACCATTTTTTCCTTACTGGTAGGATATTACAGTATTTTGAAAAAAAGTATTCTCAATTTCAACAAATATAGAGGAAGGGCAAATCTTCGTCCTACAAGTGCTTGAAAAATTATGGGAATTGGCTCAGGATTTGGATGCCTTATTTATCAATTTCCTAGCAGCTTATGATTCTGAAATTGTCTTTGAAAAATCCTGACTGAACTGGGAGTTCCCAGGAAGTTGGCGAGCTTGTACAAATGAGGGTCATAATATGAGGAGAAGTATCTGAAGCTTTCAAAGCTCGAACTAGATTGCAGCAGGAAGATGTACTATCTCCGATGCTGTTAAACTTAGTGCTGGAAAAAATGATAAGAACATCACATGAAAATGAGGGATGTACATCAGAATAAATTTACATTTAGAGACTTGCTAAGATTCATATAAGAAAAGTAGAGCAAATCGGCCTATAAGTTAAAGAAAATAAAACAAAATATATGTTTAAGATAAAAATTCCACTCCAAGAACAGAATCTGCGAAGGGGAATCATTTCCAAGATTGGATAAATTGAAATACCTCAACTTCACAATGATCTCAATGAATGACCAACGGTTGGGAATTGACCAGAATATGACATGCGCAAACAGAACTTTCTCTTCTCTTCCAAAGGTATTCAAACTTCTGATAAATCTCAAATTAAGGATCTACTATTCATTTCTGAAATAAGACTGTGAGACCTGGACACTAACCAGCACTCAAGAATAAAAGCATGAAAGATTTGAAATAAAAATCGTCCACATGACAACAGGAGCTATTTGGGATCAGAGTACTAATGCATGGAAGATAATGACCAATAAAGAACTCCTTACAGAAATGGGTCAATCTATTGAACACAACATTGAATGCCTCGATAGATGGGAAGAGATCATATAGGAGGTCATAAACTAGTAGAATAGA